ATGTAAAACGGTAAATATGCGGAATATTATTAGTATTTTTGGTTAAATTTCCAATGAATTGTACTTTAGTAACGTCTACCAACCCCAACCCTAAACACAACTATCACAGTAATGTAAAACGAGTAGAGTAATATTCATTTTATTTATTCAATTATACATTAAGTTGTGTTTTGTTAACGTCTACCCCACCCTAGCCTCATTACAGTAATGTAAAACAGTAATTACACCGAATAATATTTATATTATTTATTAAAAGACCCATTAAATTGTAATTTATTAACGTCTACCCCAACCTTAATCCCCACCATCTGTAATGTTGAAATATGAATTATTGTTGTAGAGTTTCACAAAAATTATGCTATATTGATGTGAGTATCCGCAGCTGTATCCCATCTGGACAATACCAGAGGGTGTTTCCCGCGTGTGCAGAGAAACTCCCGCGCTTTCTGTGACGTGTGACGCCCGTCTGATTCTCATCAACGTGACGTCACTTCGCGAGCTGTCCGCGGTGCTGAAGCAAGATGGCAGTGCGCTAGAGGCGACCAACTGATGGACTAAAAGTGCTTTACACGGACATTATCTGTTCATTGAGCGGTTTGTGCGTTTATTTGAGCGATTCTGAAGCCATGGCTGTGTTTTGAGTGGAAAACGGCTGAATTAAATCACAGCACGTATAACGGACCGTCCCGTTCCGGAGGTCGACGCGATGTCTCTGCTCTGCGTCGGTGGTGAGTAATTATATTTATTATTAAATACAGTCTTATATTGTCATTTATTCATATAGGATGTTATCTGATTGATAAATCCTGTCTTCATACAGACACCAGTACAAAAAGTAGCCTGTAGGACTATTTAGTAGTAGCTTGTGATTCAATACAGTAGTCATATACTAACGTTATACTTAATATAATGCTGTGGGGTTTACATTACACGTTTGTTTTTTTATTTATTATAAACGATTCTTTAATGTATCATACACGTAAATAACATGTTGTAGACATCTTTGAGTCATGGTATCCTTCATTTAAAAGTACCACTGGACATGGATATGTACTGGGACACTCGTATATCATGTTATTTACATGATATTTCATAAATCACGCAGTGCTATTGTTATATATCAGGGGGTTTTGACAAAATACTGATATTAAAAATAATTTCTTAACTCTTCTGAAGTAAAAAAATTACAGTGTTGTATAAAAATGAATATAAAGAAATATGAATATTAATAATAACTAATATGAATAATATTATATTAATATAAACATGTCTGGAAAACATGGAGCCTTTATTTTTTGACCAATTGTTATTTATTTATTTATTTATTTTGGTCTCAATTATAAATTACATGCAGAGTTTTATTCAAATTTTGATTAAATTACCAATAAATTGTATTTTACCATCTACCAACCCCAGCCCTAAACCCAAACATCACAGTATAAACGATTGTTTTATGTATTATAGAGGTTGTAGACATCTTTGAGTCATGATATCCTTCATTTAAAAGTACCGCTGGACATGGATATGCACTGTAACATTAATATATCACATTATTTACATGATATTTCAATTGATATTTCATAAATCACACAATTTTGTTATATATCAGGGTTATTCGACAAAATACTGATTTCTTAACTCTTCCGAAGTTAGAAATTACTGTGTTGTATGAAAATTGATATAAAGAAACATTAATATTAATATTAACAATATTATATTTTTATATAAACATGTCTGGAAAAACATGGAGCCTTTGTTTTTTTGACCAGTTGTTATTTTTTGGTCTAAATTACAAATTATATGCAAAGTTTTATTCAAGTTTTTTTATTAAATTAACGGTAAATTGTATTTTAACGTCTGCCAACCCCAACTCTAAACCCAGCCATTACAGTATAAACGATTGTTTTATGTATTATAGAGGTTGTAGACATCTTTGAGTCATGATATCCTTCATTTAAAAGTACCACAGGACATGGATATGCACTGTAACATTAATATATCATGTTATTTACATCACAGTTCAATGGATATTTCATAAATCACGCAGTGCTATTGTCATTAATGTACACAAATGTGGCAGTGTTTTCTTTTACGGGGATAATTTCCCAAAGTTGCTCATGTTTGACACATCTTTTCATCGGTTTGGTGTGTTTTATGAGACATGTTAGTGTGTTTTCTCTTAAAAACTCACTATTTATACATTTATGAATGTCTTTCTTTTGTTGAACACAAAACAAGATACTTAGAAGAATGTTGG